ATTAGTATAAACCTACTAGTAGGCTATCACATATCGTGGCTTCTGATTGGCTACGCTACTAGTAGGCTATTAGTGATAGCCTACTAATAGAAAATTCAAAATGGCGGAAAATTCGCATTTTGCACTTTTGCCGAAGTACGTGTCTGATGATTTTTTTGGACGACTTGTTGAACAATTCTGTACTAAAAAACCCCGAAAAAGCAACAAAAATATGGAATGGCAATTTTTAAGGGTAAGAAAATAGACAAAATAACATACACTCAATGAAATTTTAAAATTAAAACTGAATTTTGTAAAACATTTTACGCGAACAAAAACTAAAATATTTGTTTACTTTTAATGGTTTTATAATGTTTTTTGTGTATTTTTGTATTGTGTTTGCAGCCTAGTTGTAAATTAATGTTAAAGTTTATACTAAAACAATTAGACAACTCGGCCTCGTTCTCTATGAGCAAATAGTCAACTCGGCTTCGCCTCGTTGACTATTCGCTCATAGACAACTCGGCCTCGTTGTCTAATTGTTAAATATATATAAATATATATATATATATATATATATATATATATATATATATATATATATATATATATATATATATATATATATATATATATATATATATATATATATATATATACTAGTCCAATGCTCTGCCAACTGAGACACAAAAAAATCATGATCATAGACCACATTGGTATCGAAGGTACTAGACTTAGTTTCGAAATACCACACACTCGAACAGTATGGATACATATACTTGCCCGGTATGGATGCACACTCAGAGTAACGTCACAAACATAATACTGTATATAACGAAATGCACATTTGACTCACCTCGTAAGCGTTGTGTAATGCCTTGGCTATGTTATGATGTGATCTCACGTAGGCAGGAAGATGAATAAACCAAACACCGTAACAGTATGCTAACAGACAACTAAAAAAGGAAAATACATAGTGGTTAATATGCATGACCGAGGCCTAATTCCACAACCACAGGTTGTATAATTCTCCCTAATCTCGTGCGCAGAGTATGCCCGTTCGCAGGTTGGAAATTGAAATTTGAGACTTTGAAGGAATACGCTCCCTCATCGTACGGAGGAGTAGCCCGCGTGCAGGCCCATCGAGGGAAGAATAGTGGGCCTGCAAGCAAGACCCGGTATTTTGTAAAACGCCCCTTTTCATAAGGGACCGGTCATAAAGTAACTGCCAGGGTGGGCTGGAGTGATTTGGGATGGGCCATGGAAAATCTTTGGGCACTTTCGATGGGCCGCCAGTTTTTTGGTATGTCCACGGTTGGGCCACCAAACAAAAACCCATGTTAATTATATATTACATAAATATATTAATAATAAAAGTAAACAAAACCATCCAAATTATCAAATGCAAATGATGCTATTGAAGCCAGTACTTTGTTTTATACAACAACAAGAAGTGGTCGAATCACAGCAAATACAACCAACTGGAGAGCAGCTCAGTATCGTAATTGGTGATGAATGTGTTGGTCAAGCTTGGTGGAATTATGTATGTCAATACAGTGCCAGTGTATATTTACAATGTTCATACCTGCAAGCTTTTTTTTATTATAAAATTGTATTTTCCCAATTTAGATTGGGTGGGTGGGTCATGAAATAAATTTGGTAAGATTAGATGGGTTTTGAAATTTTTATCTAAATCCTAAAATGGGTCACCAAACTTATTGGCAAAATTTGTGATTTACCTCCAGCCCACCCTAGCAGTTACTTTATGACCAGTCCCTAACACGCCCCATTCGCGCGTCAATTGTCAAAAAAGAACCAATGACAGCAACCCAAATAGTACCAAACAAACTCGCATTAAAATGTTGCGGGGTTTTCTCTGCTTATTCAAAATAGAAACAATGGCTGCGTTTTAACTCCAAAAAAGCAAGCAACGCAGTCAGTAATTGCCAAATTTGCAAGTGCTCATTTTCAACTAAAATCGGAACAGGCAAATTGGGACGAATTTCAACAGAAAACCAGTCTCAAACTTCAAATCGTGAGGGAAGTCGTGCATGCGACCACATTAGCATTAATGTGTGCTTCGCTGTCGCCATTGTTATAAATAAATTGTCTCACTTATCAGATCGTGTGTGCAATTCTTGTTGGCGGCGGAAAGTACGAAATTTATTTCAGTAATGTCATTTGGTAAAGAACTCGACAGAAGAAGAGAGCGTTCAGAGTCCAGATCGTTTCATTTCAAACGGCAATTACCGTATTCTGTTTCGCTCTCTCAGCGAAGCCTTGCAAATCGCAAAGTGTTTCGAATACGTTGGCATAACGGCAAAAACATATCTTCCTTCAAGTAAACAATAAACAGTCTGTTCTTGTTCCATTTTTAATCGAAAAGAGTGATCAGATCCAATTTTTATAAGCTTATCGAGAGCCTTTGTGACGAATCACTGACCTAATTATAGAATCCAACAGCAAACAGTCAATCAGAATGCTGCGTTCGTGGGCGAACGCGGAAAGTACAAAATACCGGGTCTTGCTTGCAGGCCCACTATTCTCCCTCGGTGGGCCTGCACGCGGGCTAACGGAGGAGATAAGAGTATGTTTACATTGTTCCTCGGAATGTTTTGTTGCTTGAAATATACGTGTGTGAACTAAGCAACATTAGTCTGATGCTTTGAAAGGCAATTTCTTTTAATATCGTGTAATATGTGTAATACCTACCTTGACCAGAACATTGGAGTCTTTTCAAGTCTTTTCACGCTCTAGGTAAAAATAAAACAGATTGTAACCTTTAGAATTTGAAGTTGATTGTCTCAAAATTGACTTCGTATACAGTACAGGATCCCCCCCCCCCAAAAAAAAAAACAACACAGCTATTGAAATAACGTATTGTTAGAATTTGAATGCCTCAGCACTCTGCTAAACCCACAAGTGCATACAAGCTTGACATAAGCAAATTGTATGCATAAAAAAACCTGTTTAAGTCAATATTTTATATATGCACCCTGTCAATATTTTACGCATATTTGCGTTCAACTTAGTGCTAGTGCACAAATTCACAAGCAAGAAAAGAGATAAGCCTAGCGAAAACCTGTTTAATTTGAAAGATTTGAATTTGAATTTTTTCCTGACGACAGATCAGACGAAAAATTATTTTTTTTTAATTTTTAAAATTCTAGGGTATCCTGTAATCGTAACAACGTATTTTTCATGAGAGAACTTTTAATTTTGGCTCATGAAAAGCACGCCTTCCGAACCGAGCCATATCTTTCGCGGAAAATAAGAAAATATTGGGAGATGGCGCCCCCGGCGTCAACCTCTATTTCATACCCGGACAGATTCAAGACGTTCTTTCGGTGTACGCTGGCCGTAAGCCGAGACAGGACTGGCCGTGACAAGTTGTGACGTCTCCGTTATAAATAGTTCATCCTGAAGACTGGGAAATGTCGGGTAACTGCAAGAAAATAATAGAAATAGTTATTCCAATGTGGAGAAAGATTTCTTTGGAGATTTTGGGACATCTCGTTCGATAATAGAACTTATTATTAGCATGACAAAAATAATTGGATGCCGATTGGTTGAGAGGAGCACAATTATTTCATTAATTGTACTGCAGTACAATTAATGATTTTCTCAAAACAAACAAAATGGCGGAAAGGTATTTTAAACACAATTGCGAAATGAAATTGCCGTGGAGGAACTAGATGAAAATACGAACAAAAGCACCAAATTTTGCTTGAACAAAAGAACTAAATGAAAATACAAACAAAAGCACCAAATTTTGGTTGAAAGTCTGGCAGGACTGGGCTTTGGCGAGAGAATATGATGTTGACATTGAGAAGTACGTATCCAATTTTGTCATGCTAATAATAAACAAGTAATCATGCGATGTTGCTCGTACAATTAGGGATTAATAGTACTCGTGATGTTTGGAAATTTGCCAAATTGGACTCGCCCCGGCGGCTCGTCCAATTTTGGCAAAATTTCCAAACATCACTCGTACTATTAATCCCTAATTGTACTCGCCATCGCATGATTACCTATACTAATAGTAGGTTTTCTGCAGATACAAATACCGAGTGCAAATTTATATACAGGTAATAGTATGGTTTCGAGTGCAATTTGGAAAAAAAACATGCACGAGTGAGTTTTCCAAAGACTATCAAAATTGCACGAGTCCGAAGGACGAGTGCAATTTGAAGTCTTCGAAAAGATCACGAGTGTACCGTAAACCTCCGACTATAAGCCCTGGGCTTACATTCTTTCGTAAGCGATTTTTGATGGGCTTAAGGGGGAGGGCTTATATACGGGG